CCCCAAAACCCCAAAACCCCAAAACCCCAAAACCCCAAAACCCCAAAACCCCGGGGTTACTCTAGGAGGTTGAAAAATATAGTAGAATGTTCTTTTTTCTCAAAAATTATATCACTAAACCTTACAAACAGGGCGAAGAAAACTTGGATGTTAACACGATCATAGATCAGGCTCATGTTTATCCAGAACTAAGTTGTTGATTACCTAGGCGAGTATTCTTACAAAATTTTGTCATCTACAATATTTAAATTGTGAACCTTCTATTGATATTTACTCTATGTTGTTCCTATTCTGTTTTAGGTATAAAATTGTACATCATTGTTTCTAAATAATTCCAACTGCTCTATTAAGTAAGGTCTCGATAACTAAAGTTTTTTGGAGAATTTGAAACTAAATTTATTGCTAAATTCTTAGACTGAAATTGCTCAGCAATGAGAGGGCGCATTTTTAACTCCTAATGATAGATTATATGGCTCTTCTCTGATTAGTTAAGAGTCTTCTGTGTTATTCATGGCCAATGCTAACTTTTAGGATCTCTCTGTCACATCTTTCTCAGTGATGGGCTGATTCTCTTGTGCGTGCTCATACAGCAGGTATACAACAATAAAAGATAAAGAAGAACAATAGCATGAATAAAAGAAAGCATGTATCATCCCAGTTGCATGAAGTCTTAACCTTTGATATTCCTATGTGGCCTCAATATCTATGTCTTAGATGCAAGCTTACCTACAGCGTACTCTGATAGGCATATCTGAGTGTACATACAGTATTTCGTTTGTATCTGTGAACTATTGATAACTTGATTTAGCCCATCATTTTGGTTGAATCTCAGGATACAAAAAAAAACAACCCCAGATTTTCTGTTAAGGTTTTGATAAGTACAAGTCTTAAAAGTAGATTTTTTATTTTAAATTAGAGAATCTGAAGCTGTATACTTTCAGCTCCTGAAAAAGGAATAATTATATCTTGCAGGAATCAACAAATACCGAATAATAACAGGGCTATTGATTCATTTAACTTAGAAAACTAATACTACTCTTTAAATTTACTCAAATCTCAACTCTGGTTAAAATTTATAAGAAACTGAAGCTAAAACTCAAGTTATTTCAACTGACTGATTAATTTATTGTCAAAATAACATATAGCAATGAAGCCCCTTAGCTCTATCAAAATGTTGTCTTTCTTACAGTAGGTTATGATAAAAAGCATATTTATCAAATCTCAAAAAATTACCCGTAATTTTGAAGCGAAAAAGAGAATCTATGTTGGAACCTTATAGAGCAAGGTTTCAAGATTTTATATTGTTGCCAAGATCAGGAATGTAAAGGACTGTCATTCTTATAGGGTTGTGTATAATTAGTTAATACAAGTCTTAATTGTGTCAATGACTTGATAAATACTTACAACGATTTCATAAACTCCTTCGGGATTTGCCCCTGCTATATTAGGATTGATGCCTCTTGGGGGAGGATTAGGGGGACGGAATGCTCCATAGTTTGGTCTATTATCCATCTATACATAATTATATCATGTTTTAGTCATCTTTGCTTAAATAATAAAGCTTTCAAACAACTGAAAGAATTAATCACTCTTTCTTCGCAGCATAAAGGATAAAATATAAATATTTTAACAATTCAGAGATTTGAGGGTCAAATAGATAATACCCACTCTTCCTTAGAAGATTAGAGGCTAAACCAGAAAACAAAGGATAATTATGTTGATTTAGTTTTGGTGCGACCTTCCAAATAAATTAACTGTTTAAATTTATAAAGCTCAGATTAAAAAACTTGGAAAGAAAGATCAAATCAAAGTTTTGATCTACAAATGATCAAATAGTCAAGCTAACTTATCCTGAAGAAGATGTATGTTATCAAGGCTTACATTTTAGATATCGGACCTATTTCTTCAATTATTTATATCTATTTGGGGTTTTGGGGTTTTGGGGTTTTGGGG